TCCTCAAAAATTGAGGATGGAGGGAAAAAAGGAATCAGATTTGTACCATTTCACACAGATTTCATAACAGATGAAACATGAAAATCTGATTTGCCAAGTAAACCTCCTGCATAACAATTCCTGGGCGACTTTTTTACAGTAGACCCAGGCCTTATGATCATCACATAAACAAACAAACAGCAAAAAACAAGTTACAGTTCTGTGAATTTATAACACTTAAAGAGTGTCCGTGGTCCAGCGACTTGCCTGACGGTGTTGGCATTACACGGCAAGTTCATTTTCCGATTTCTGCACCTCCATCGCTTTCTGCATCTTCTCCACCATCCATATGGGCACGCTAAAAGGTTTCAATTCATCCATTTTCAATTCCGGAGAGTCCCTAAAAGTAAATTACGAGATGCTCATTCACTGTGAACTTCATTTATCAAAGTTTTAAGACTAAGAAAATGTTTGTTTACTTGTAATCATCACTTCTGGCAAGATCTAGAATGTCCTCTTCTATAAGCAGATAGGCCTGAGGAGACAAGCGGTTTAAGAAGATGATCAGGATTTGATATTTCAGGCTTATTGAATCCTGTATTAAAACAAACAGACATTGTGCTCACCATCTTTCCACCCGTGGCTCTCATGTGCTGTCTTTCTGAAAGCCAGTGTTTGTCCTGAGCGTCAGCCGCATACTGACATGTAAAAAATATAGTTAGCTTCAGATATACCTTAAAACAGCTTTACTATAGTAACTGTAACTGTTACATGACTTTTCTTAAAGTGCATACTGGAATTTGTTTGGTAAAAGTGTTTCTATTGCAATACAGTTCAAGTCAGAATTATTCGCCCCCCTGTTAATTTTTTTTACCCAATTTCTGTTTAACGGAGAGAAGATTTTCTCAAAACATTTCTAAACATAATACACTTAATAACTCATCTCTAATAACTGATTTATTTGATCTTTGCCATGATGACAGTAAATATTATTTGACTAGATGTACTTCTTTACAGCTTAGTGACATTTAAAGGCTTAACTAGGTTAATTAGGTTAACTAGGCAGGTTAGGGTAACTAGGCAAGTTATTATGGAATAAAATCGCTGTCATAAAAATTTCATGCGTAAATAAAATTCATGCATTTGTAATTATAAAATCGTAAAGGAAAACGGAGCATACTCGTAATTTTATGAGGGTACAATTCCAAAATCTGCAATCAGAACAGACACAAATACAACATTTTCTTGGTCTGTTTGTATATGACTGATAAATTTAGGATTGGTGTACTGTACAAACATGAAATACAGTTTTCACCACGGACAGGACAACCGGATTATGAGTACGAATCAAAAAGCAACACCGTTAAGTGACTCACTGTCAAAATTATGTCACTGCTGCCATAGGCAATAATAAACAAGCGAAAGTCATTGATCACAACGGTGCGCTAGCTGGGCAACCAAACTCCCACCCGGTCAGGGTTTTGTTATTCCCTCTTTGAGGAATGTCCGTCATGAGCTGTAATAAAGGTGGATATTTAATGAGGTTCATTTTCGCTGTGTTTCTTGGACATTTTACAGAATCAATCATTAAGAACGGGCTGGGGATAGTGAGCATAATGTAACTTAACATTACAGGCAGCGAGCGCAGAATTTCTCAGTGAGTCACTTAACGGTGTTGCTTTTTGATTCGTACTCATAATCAGGTTGTCCTGTCTGTGGTGAAAACTGTATTTCGTGTTTGTACAGTACACCTATGGTAAATTTATCAGTCGTATACAAACAGACAAAGAAAATGTTGTATCTCTGTGTCTGTTCTAATTGCAGATTTTGGAATTGTACCCATGTAAAATTACGAGTACGTTCCATTTTCCTTTACGATTTTATAATTACAGATGTGCGAATATTATTTACGCAAGAAATATTTATGACAGCGATTTTATTCCTTAGTTATTGTATAACGATTGTTTATTCTGATAATTAAAAGAGCTAAAAATTTTGACCATAAAATGGTTTTTAAAAAATTTAAAACTGCTTTTATTCTAGCCAAAATAAAACAATTAAGACTTTCTCCAGGAGAGAAAATATTATCAGATAATGTAAAAATTTCTTAGGTCTGTTAAACATCCTTTGGGAAATATTTAAAAAAAGAAATAGAAAAATCAAAGGGGGGCTCATAATTCTGACTGTAACTGTATATGCACATTTTTTCATTTCGAATAAAAAGTTTATCCTACACAGTTCGTGTTTTCATATGTGTCTTATGCACATTTTCAAAATTTATACACATCTTGGCGTTTCCATCAACCTTTTTGTTTATGCGCATATCCAAAATGTGCATGAAAATAGGTTGATGGAAACACAGCTAATAAAAATCATTTGCTTTCACGTTTGGTATAGCACTCCTGTTGACACCAACATGAGGATTTCCATAGCAACTGCATATTAATAGCCTTTCTTACCATAAGTTCGGACTTTAGGGAATATGTAAAAGAAAGCCCCGCCCCCAACTCAATATTCCATTTCAGTTGGAAGTACATCATCATACTGAAATAAAACTCTCAGCAACTTCCGGTCCACACAGACTTTAAAATAAGCAAAATAACCTGCTAATGGGGTAAGCAAAATAAACGTATTTCAAAACAAAAACAAGACACCACGTACACCATTAGCAGATTATTTTGCTTGTTTGAAAGGTCCCACGAAATAAAAGTTTTTTAGATGTTAGTATCAGTGTTGCTAGTTTTTAAGATATTTATTAGCTAGTCCGCTCCAATGCAATGCCAAAATTTGCATTTGGAAGATATAAAACAGATATAAACATGTAAAGCTTGTAGTTTGTGGATGAAATAAACCTCATACTTCTGTTTCTTAAATTGTGACCAATCAAATGCTCTCTAGTGTCTGACAAGACCCTTCAAGACGCTTCACATTTGATGTGCTTGAGCTAACCCCTCCCACTGGCAGATCGGTGATGAAGCAAAACGCTATTGTTTTATAAAAAGGGGAGGAGCTACTCTATGTCCCACCCTCTATTCATGTTTCAATTAAGATTACGTCAAACATGGAAAAAAATGCACATTTCAAAGCACTTCACGCAACCTTTAATTCAAAATTAGGCCGATTTTTCCCACTAATTTCTGAAAACAAAATATAATTTTATGCTAGTCTTAAAAATGCTCTTTGATTTAAGACTTTACATATGTGGACTAAAGATTAAACACAAACTGTAAGTAAGTGAAGCATTTTTTTAATTGTAATACTGAGAAAGCTGTAGATGTACCTTGAAGAGTTCTGCATGTTTGATGTAGATTCTTCCTCTTGTACCGCCCATTCCCAACGCCCTGAAAATAAATCCACCGTCAATGCAAACTGAATACACACTGTTAGGACTGCGTTTTGCGTTTCTGTGTTTGATTTAATTTCTAGATTGGGGGCGTGCCTTCAGCTCACCTGATGCTGGTCAGCTCCCTTATTTAAACCCCGGCAGAGAGTTTGTCAGGGCTGCTGTCCATTCACTTGGCAGTTGGCCAGAGCTGCGCTCCAATTTGGGCATTATGCTTTGTTTCGCATCCATACACTATCACTGACATCCATACACTTGCATTTCACACTGATTGAACATGCTGATTCTGATATTTTGATTATATAATTTAAATCGAGTTAAATAAATCTTCTTTTTGACTATACTTCACCTTGTCGTCTCCCTCGTTATGTTACATCCCTGAGCCAGGTGAAACAACATATTTAAATCATTTGTAGTTTAACAAGGACCATCCACACCAGGCATTGTGAAAAAGACTTTGAGGCAATGGGACCAGCTGTGCATTAATTATGACTAGTATTGAAGTGAAGGGTGAATATAAGTACACAAAATCAAAACTAACCATAGTGAATTTGTTCGCTCTTATCGTTAGCTTTGTGGTGAACAATTCATCTGTGCATGTCGTTGAGATAAACAAAATCGTTTGCCTGAAATTGCACTTCATGTTAGTTTTCAGTTACGTTCTAAGATTAGGTCTGTCTGAGGTAGTGGACGTGGCTAACATACTTAACTACGCCCCTCAAAACTCTAAGCAATGTATCAAATTCCACTGATTTCCTGAAATAACCTTCGCGTTTTTAGATAATACAGCGCAGCTCTTTGCTGGACTCTCCTTCCTCGCTATGCGGTACTCGATGGACACAATATGTAGGATATTCCTCATTGCTCATTCTCTTTGGAGAAGCGAGAGAGGACAGGGTTACTGCAGATATCATAATGTCAAATTTATCCCTCTCAAGGCAGGCGTTGCTAATTTGCAACAGTTAAAAATTAACTACCTTATTACTCCAGATACATACTTTATGAGTTTTTTTTACCCACAAGTTCCACTGCAGGACTTGGGTTGTCCATTAGCAACAAGCAGTTTCCCCACTTGCTCACCAGATGACACAAAAGACAAAAACTGTTTCTTGGAGTACCACATGACAAAGTGACTTGGAAACATGACCTACTCAATGAGGATTTGAGATACTGGATTTGGATCCAATATTGCTTTTGTTGTTGTTCTGCCACTGAAAAGCAATTTGTTACATTGTTTGAAAAGTTGTATATAAAAAGTTATTGTTCATATCATATTCAGTCGTCAGTGTCTAATTACCACACTGAGCCAATGTAGCAAATCTGCAACATCCCAGAACGCCTTGCATGTGAAGGTCTCTCTAAAAAAAAGTCAGGATTCTATTGTACTAACCCATATGATAATTTCCCCCAAATATCAGATTTTTCCTGTTTCTAAAACTTAATTTGAGCCTGAGAGGGTTAAGACTTTAAGACCATTAAGTATTAAATTTAAGACCTATATCACAAAATCAAAAACACGTGAGAGAAAATGAAAAAAAAAAAAAGTTTCACAAAATTAGTTGTAAAATAAACTTAATTAAATTGAAAAGTACTACAAAAAATAAAAATAAAAACAAACATCTTAATGCTGATTTCTACTTTCGCCTGGTGCCACATCATGAAATGGACTTTTATACTTGACGCATTCGCCATTGATATTTTTTTAAATGACAGGGGGCGGACAAAAGAAACTGACAGTAAAATCAGACAAACAAAAAGAGAATTATTAACATTGAAGATTGTTTAGGGGGCCTCTTTTTTTCTCTCAGGTTTTTCCAAACTTTTACAAAAACTTTCCTCCTTTCCCACTGCTTTCCCCATATATATATATATATATATATATATATATATATATATATATATATATATATATATATATATATATATATATATATATATA